ATGATATCTCGATAACTGTTTGTCGGAGAGAAAAGTAGTACAGGAACTTTTTACTTGATTTGGTCTCAGGAATATGCTGTTACAATAGTTCTCTAATTATTGAAAATTTTAAGAACGTACATTATTGGACGTACAAAATATGTTATTTTTGGTACGTTTTAAAGATGTCCATTTTATGTATTTATAAGAAACATGCGTTTGGCGGCTCACATATACCTTTATTTATATATTGCGACGTTATATCTATTCACGGATCGTACCAACCCACATAGCACAGGGACGTCGATTGAACGTCCGAAGGACGTCCGATTGGTCCAACATGGATATCCGTGGGATGTCCGTATTCGTCCGTTGACTGTCCATGGGACGTCCATATTATGTCTAAATGTCCGGCCTATTTACGTCCATAAGACGTCTTATGGACATCCGGTAGACAAATAAGGATATCCCACGGACATCCGTGTCGGATGTCCTTCGGACGTCTAATGGACATTTGATGGACGAAAATACAGTACCTCGATCTATTGGATGTCGAATTCGAATGTCTTATGGACATTCGGTAAACGAAAATACAGGACAATCCGGATAATTAAAAGCCCGTATTGATAGTCGTTGTTCAATTCTAAAGATCAGTCTGTCTTTGTCTCGCCTACTACGTTTTTCCATACGCGACACGAGACAAAGACAGACTGATCTCGAGAATTGAGGAACGACTATGAATACGAGCCTTAAACTGCTTTAAACTTAAACTAAAGGTTTAAAAAGATCAAATATACACAATCGTTGATCTTGAACTTGCAAATCCTCACAGATCTGATATTTGTTACAAGGTAAATGGTGCGATATAAGGATAAAATAAATTATTTTACTTGGCAAATAAACGAGTGTATTTTGAGTTATGTTTATTAAATACTTATAGTTTCAGTACTAACAAAATTTTTAAGTAGATATGTGTAGTTTCTTTGGTATGCAATTAATGCAATCATATTTTTATTTATATTAGACACCTCACTTATTTTTAACAAAAATTAGAAACGTAAACAAATAGAAACTGCTGGAAGCATACTGTGATGTGTTCCGTTTCCGTGTTAAAACCTTGTAGCAGTTTGAAAGCGCACGAAACTAAAACGGAAGGACACTTCTGTGACATCATAGCGTCAGTACTCGCAGTGAATAATTCGGAACGCACCAACAAAAATTACGATTTTACACATTCAATTTGTGTGTCGATCTACCAAATATCGCAGATGTATATTAACGTAAAACAGATGTGATTTGGATCCATTGAATATCCTGTAGCGAACATCCGACGGATGTCCCAAATAGGACGTACATTGGACATCCATAATTCGTCCATAGAAGTCAGATATAAAATGGATATGTTTTGGACATCTTAAGGACGTCCTTTGATAGACGTCCCATGAATATCCACAAATGGACGTCGTTAGGACGTTCATAACATGTCCACGGACGTACCGACATAAAACGGACATAATTCAGACGTCCGATGGACGTCTTGTGCTATGTGGGAATATAATATAGTATAACAAATTATAACAATTATAATTACTAATACTTATTATATTCATTATAATTACCATTATATATTATATTGACAATTATGATTTTTCTAATGTTATTTTATTTCATATTGCAAGACTTTAAGCAGATAGCACGTATAAAAAGTTATTTTTGCAAAGGCTGTAGTACTTATACAGGGTGTACCTAAACTGGCGATAAATATTTTAATGACAAGTACTTTGTAACATTTTG